GGGCAGAAAGCTGCGAGGAGGGGGGGTCTGGGGGTGGGTTTTTGCCCGGGAGCCGCTAGCCCCCCCCCATGCTGTCCCCACGCCGCCCGCATCCCCCACCCCACGCAGGGCTGGCGTCCCTCGGTATCGTGTCGTGTCGTGTCGCCGCACGACCCCGGGCTCTGCTTCGTGAGCCGTGAGCTCCCTCCGAGGTCACGGAGCTGCTCGGCTTCTCACCGAGCCCCGGAGCCCCCTCCTCACCCCGGGGTGAAGGGTGGGGGGATGTCCGTGGCGTACCGGGAGGATGCCGGTGTTTATCCTCATCCCGCCTTCTCGTTCGCAGCGGGTTTTTCGGCGAACCGGATTCCTTCTCCATGTACGGCGGCAACCGGGTGAAGAGGAGACCTTCTCCCTACGAGATGGAGATCACCGACGGTGAGAGCGTTTGGCCCCTTCGCTGGCTCTTGGCCGGGGAGGGGGGTGGTGGTGGGGTGGGGGGTGTCCCCATCTGCTGAAAGGGGCAAATTGCTGCGGGGTGCCACATGTTGGGATTAAAACCCCAAATCCTAAAGGACAAATAGGATGCCCGAGGTGGCGGGGGGGGGGGGGGCTCTGTCCCGACTGACGACCGGCAGCCTGCTCGGGGGGATTTGCTTTCGCGCAGCGAAGCGGTTCAGCGTATGGTTAATTACATCCCTGTTCTGCAAATTGCTTCGAGATGAAATCCCAAGGAAGGCACTAAATTTAAAGCCCCCCCCCCCGACTTGAAGCGCCCAGGCTGGATCAGGGCCACCTCAGCGACACGCTGCGTTTGCAAACCCTGGTCAGCCGAGGGGAGGTTGGTGAGGCAGCCCCCAGCCCCGGGCAGAAAGATCCCCCCCGCCTTAAAAACTGCTTAAAAACGAAGAGCTAAACCCGAGTTAAGGTCTGCAGGAGTCGCAGTGGGATTGTGGCCGTCCCTTGGCCGCCGCTCACTTCGCCAGCTTCTCCGCACCTTGAGCAGAAGGTACCCCCACCCCCGTGTCCCCAGAGCCTGGGAGCAGACGGGGAGGGTGACAGCCCGGTGGGATCCCCGTCGGACCGGCAGGATAATCCCAAAGGCAGGAAAAGCAGGGAGAAGGCAGGGCAGGATCCCGCTGCCCCTTCCCAGGCAGCGCACCTTTCACGTGGAAGCCCGACACGTTTATCTGCAATTAACAGCCCCTTACAAACGAGATCTAGTGAAAACGTATTTTCTCTTTAGCGATTGTAAATGCCGTGTTTCGATTCATTTTCCTTCTTTCTAGCTAGCTGTCCCTTTTCCTTCTCCCCGGCTAAGCTAAAATCAGATCAAATCGTAATCCACGTCGCTCTAAAATGATGGGGTACGAAATGCCGGGCTCGGGGCGTTATCTGCCTCTATCGGTCCGTCTCCCCCCGGTCCCTTCAGCCCGCAGCCCCCTGGGGCTGTGTCTCAGCCCCCAGCACAAGAAGGTCTTTTTGTTTGGATTTGGGTTCAGAGGCTTTAGCGGCTGCGGTGAAAGTCCATCAAATCACGGCGCCTGACTGCAGCTTTCGCCTTGCTGCTGAATTAGATACTAAGGATTACAGAGATATTTGGTTGTAACCAAGTTTTTTGATATATGCTTTAAAGCAGGTGTATACATTAAACCCAGTCCTGCAGGTTCTGGCTCGTGAATTTCCAAGACTAGGATCAAATTTTTTGGGGGGGGAAAAATAGGTATCAGATGATGCTGTCTAAGCAGGAGCAATTTGTAGGGATGTGCATCCCATGCTGAAGCATCTGTGCTGTCTGCTGGGCTTTGCTTGTCGTTCTGAGCATCGCTGCTGTGGGTCCTCAGCCCTTGGAAGGTGCAGAAAGGCAGAAGGGTCTTGCTGGGCACAAGGTGTTTGGTTTCCTCTGTAAGGGAGGGAGTGGTGTCTTTTTGCAATTATTTCTATTTCCATTTTGGGGAAAGTTTGGTGCACTGATTATCTTCTTAAAATATAGATATAAGTGGAGATGTAAAAAAAAAAAAAAAAAAAGTAAAAAAGCACTGGCTTTTTATATTCTGTAGCTTTGGAAGCTCATATTTTTACTTGTTTTCCTCAGACTTCTAATTTACAATTTAAAAAAAATCAAAAAGCATCAGTCAATCAATTGGAAGAAAATCCAGGCAAAAATTCTCAGCCAACTGCTTGAATTAATTATGAAGCAAATTTCTCTATGAGAAATAAATATCTTCTATTATAACACAGCTATGGGGCATTTTAAATTTCTCCACTGCTTGACACATTTTGTCCAAAGCCTGATCTTTTTCTAGAAGTTATGTTTAATTCAGTTGGTGTAGGAACCAAAAATCTGAGTGGTGTCAGAATTTGTGTGATGTTGTGGAGCTCCATTTGGGTGCCCCCGGATGAAGACGAACAGGTCTTTTTTCAAAATTTTAGGAATAGGTGCCTCTCAGGTGCAACTTCCAGTGAACAGAGAGGCATGGTTGAAGCCTGTGAAGACTGAAAGTCTCTCGAGATTTTTTTTGAAAATAAATGGCATCCAAGTTTGGTTTTGTTTTTTTTTTTTCCCTCACACTCTTATAGAAGTAAAAAGATTTAAGCTCCATCTCTTTCTAGATTCAAGGCCGTTGGCTTTGTTTGCTCTGGAAAGAGCATTTAAGTGTTGAAACTGTTGTATTATTGTAGCAGGTTACAGCACCTTCTCCGCTGTCTCATTAGCAGTGTTGGGCAGCTCGGTGCTCTTGAGGTCCCCTTAGTCCCCAGCACCATCCCCACGACCCCATGGCACAGTGGGCTGTGCACGTCAGGGACAAGAAACCTTCCCTTTCCATGAGCTCTCGCACGTTAATTCATACAAAAGGAATTTACGTGCTGTCTGGGAGTGGAAAATGGGCTTTATTAAAGCATCAGACCAGGATCTCGGAGGCTGGAGATGAGTTTCTCTCTCTGACATCCCCCAGCTCTTCCCCAGGGGCTCTTTGCAGTTTTTGGGGAGTCCCTCATCACGAGCACGCTGTGAGCAGTGAGTTGTGTGGCTGCTCACACGCTGGAGAAGCCGGTAGCTTTAATCTGTCTGCTCGGGAGCATGTCCCTCTGCAAACCCTGTGACTGGGGGTGGGACAGGCTGGACCAAAGGGTCGCAGTTTCCCCTGAGGGGAGGAAAGTGTGACGGTGTTTAATCAGCTGGAAAGAGGGATTCCTCTTCTCACATGGTGCTAGGTGGCACCTCTCAAGGCACAGCCTGACGAGGATGTCTCCAGAATCATATCTGGTCGCCTGCTCTGCCACAGTAGTTTTGTTTTCTAAGAAAAATGCTGTTTAAACATCCCTCAGGTTGCTGGTTTCACGGGGTGATGGCAGAGCTATGGCTTAGACCGCTCACCACAGCCAGGGACTTGCTCCCACCAGGAGGGACCAGTTAGACAAGTGTCTCAGAGTGGGGCTACAGGGGAGAGATGGTGCAGATGGGAACATCCACAGCCTGTCCTTTGGGGTACCACCCACCCATCTGCTGTCTCCAAGTCTTTGCTTCATACTTTGTGATGATTTTCACTGTATGTGATGCTTCCCATCCTATGGGGGCTTCTGCCATGGCCATTCTCCCAGCGTTTCATGATATTTCTATGCCCTTCCACCATTGGCATCTCCTGGAGGTGAGGATGGAAAGGATGTAATAATAAAAGCATCTTGTGGTAGTGTCTCCTTACATGAACTGGTTCCCATGGACCCAAGGACCTGCAGTCCTGATTTATGGTGTTGCTACTCCTGTAGCACAGTACTTTTGGGTAGATGTGCTTTTGGGTCTCTCCTAGTGCTGAAATCATGTCTCACCTGTGCCAACAGGAGTCACCCTTATGATCTGAAAGGAGAATTGATGCCTTTCGTACATCTGTCCTGTGTAACATGCCCCGTCAGGACTACGGCTGTAAAATTACAGGGATTTAACTGGGGTTCACGTGTAACTGAGCCAAATGGACACCTCTAGCAATTTAGAGTCCCTTCTCCCCTCACTGTCAGATAGGGAGGTTTTGCCATGACACGCAGAGAGAGCAGGTGGTCCTCGGGTCAGCTGTGAAACTGCTTCAACCTCCACCCGTGACCACCCTTCCAGCAAGGACACTGCTTTCACAATGTGGGTGGCATTGCTACCTGTCCTCATTGCTGTGGGGTGAATCCTGCCACCTCATTTCTCATAAACCAGCCAGAAGGCTGGTGGAAATCCTGTGGTCTCCATCAACTCTGCATCTCGCTGGCATCTTAGAGTTACCAAAGCCCCTGCTCAAGCTTATTTCCTCCTGTCCTAATGGTATGTCCTTAAGGTGCTTTTGGGGTAGAAAATAAGACCAGCTTGCAACCTAACCTTCTAATAGGACCTTTGTTGCTGAGATACCCTAAAAATAGAGCAGCCTTCTGCATGTGTGTCATGGCCCAAGCTTATCTCTTGGAGAGGTAAATTTAGGCATCTCAGGAGACATCTAAAAAGACACAACTCCATTTTTCCCTTCCACTGGATTGAACAGAAACCATGCCTACCTCCGCTCATCAGGGTAGCTTCCAGTTACCTGGAAACTGCTGTTATAAGTTGGTTAAGTTGGGAAATAGTGACCTATTTGGCAAAGTAATAAATGCCCTGTTGAGCCCTAGCTCCTAATTCTGCGTGGTTGCAATTGCAGGTCCTCATACGAAAGTGGTTCGTCGCATTTTTACCAACAGCCGGGAGAGGTGGAGGCAGCAGAACGTCAACGGGGCCTTCGCGGAGCTTCGCAAGCTCATCCCCACCCACCCGCCCGACAAAAAACTGAGCAAGAACGAGATTTTGCGCCTGGCTATGAAATACATCAACTTCCTGGCCAAGCTGCTCAACGACCAGGAGGAAGAAGGAAACCAAAGGGGCAAAGTGAACAAAGACTCTGGGATAGTCCAGGAAGACCTCCTGCAGGACATGTTGTCTCCTAACTCTAGCTGTGGAAGTTCTTTAGACGGAGCGGCCAGCCCGGACAGCTTCACGGAAGAGCACGAAACACTAGACTCGAAGCACACGAGGAGCCTGCACCACGCCATCCTCCCCGTAGAAGGCAACGCGCAGCGGTGATGACCTTCCGCGTCGCTCCCGAAGCGCCAAGGGGGAGGCGAGACCCGAGCGTGAAGATGGTGGAACTCCTGCTCTTGGGATTCGTGTCTCTGCCTTTCCGTGGAGGCTCGGGCTCCCCCTTCTTCTCCCCAGCCCGGGACGGAGCGGCCGGCACGTTGGCCAAGGACAAGACCAAACCAGATGGATGTTCGGCATTTAGGTACGTGATCGTACAAAGAAGAAAAGCCTTGAAGTCATCTTCATTGTACATACTGCTCGTGATGTGACTCTGCGGAGGGGCAGGACGTGTGGCCAGCACCTCTCCAGCATTCAGAGGGCTTTCAGACCGTTTGGTGACTGTTGCTTTTTGAACAGTCACCTGGTTGAGACGTGAAGCTCCTCTTTCTCTGCTGGTGGAGGCTGCTGATGCTTTCCAGCTCCACGTGGCGCTGGAGACTGCTGGAACCTGCGAATGCTGCAGCATTTCTCCAGCCTGTGGCATATACAACTGGTCTGAGCAGGAGCTGGGGCCACATGTTCTTGTTGTCTGAGAGATTTTGACTGTATCTTTTTAAAGAGGTGAAAACATACCCTCAACAAAAGAACTATTAAAAGGATTAAGACTTTTTTTTTTCTCTCTCCTTTTTTTCTTTTTTCCTTTTTTTTCCCTTTTTTTTCCCCCCCTTTCTTCCTTTCCCTTCTACCTAACTTTGGATTGTTTGGGGTTGTTGTATTTATGACGTGGGATTACTTCTGTTTAACGCTGTCATGCAGTATCCACTGAAAGAAAAGGTACATAGTGTTTTCTGCCACCCTCCCAGCTCCCCATTTTTCTGCTGGTAATGCTCAGCGGGTGAGTTCCAAGCCTGTTGTGTTCTCCTAGAGTCTTCCCAGTGGTTTCTGTAGGGCCAGAGCTTCTCTCGAGGAAGACGAATTTCAAAGTCGTAAGGGAAAAAAAATAATTTGCTAGTGAAACATCCCCTTGGACTGGGGGATTTTTAAATTCAAAAAAGCAACAAAGAGGCAAAAGGAGTCGATGATGCGTCAACAGTGCGTGTGTACATAGAGTATAAAAGGGTTTTAATGGTATACTTTGAATTTTTTGGTTTTATTGTGTGAAAATGGTGGTGGTTCAGCCATGCCAATGCCCGCAGGCTGGACTCCAGCTGCTGGATTCAATCCGACACTAGGAGGGTCTTCACCTGCCCGAGGTTGATAGGAGTCCCCAGCATCTCCAGATCTTGGGGGGAAGCACTAAAAGCAGCAGTGGGATTGGGCTCCATTCCCCAGCTGCAGAATTTATGGCCGTGACCGAGCCCATCCTCTGATCCCTGCTGCCTCCTGGGAGGGCGTTTGGGAAATAGGGACTGGGGAGCAGGAGGCTGCTGCTGGGAGCTGAGGAAGGCATCATGCCATCATCACTGCTGCATCAAGCCCATCTCTCACCCACCATGTGATGCCTGGTGGAGAGGTTGCCCCAAGCCCGTCCTGTTCCTTCTGCAGACATGTCAAGGCACAGAAACCTCCACCACGTTACAGGAAAAAAAAAAAATAAACAAAATAAAAAACACCCACAAACATCCTTGGGAAGGGAAAAAGTCCTTCAAGAGGGGACACCTTCCATGGCACTTGTTCCTTTTCAAGGGTGCTGAGGTACAAGGACACACAGAGGATTTGGGCGGGTGGCTGCAAGGCCCTCTGGGCTTTACTGAGAGCCCCATCATTTCCATCCCCGCTTGGTTTTAATGCCTCTTTGTAAATAATAGGTGGGAGGCTGGCACGGGTTGGCACATTTGGTGGAATTAGTTGCCAGAGGAGGGGTCCTGGACCGAGCAAGGGCTTCCAGCGTAGACCTGAAGCCACCAACCTCCCTCATCTTAAATTGGGGAAAAGGAGAATTCCTTCCCAGGTCCAGATGGCCTGTGCATGGGTGGTTGGGTTTTTTTTTTTAAAGAGATTACCCACAGGGCTGGGCCAGGGAAGAGGCACCGGCGGGTGATGGAGTGATGCTGAGGAAGAGGTTTGGGCTGTTCCTGGTGCCAGGGGTAGGAAAAGTGGGTGGTGGGGGCTGGCAGAGAGGGCCCTCCGGGAAGGGAGAGGGATGCTGTCACACAGCTAAAGCCGTTCTTGGTTTTCAGCATTCAAAATAACCCTGGGGTATATGTGTGTGGGGGGTGTTGTACACCCTTTTTATTAAACTACCGCAGGAAAAAGTCACCAAAACTTGGAAGTTCCTCATTCCCCACATGTTTTTTTTTTAATTTTTTAAATCCTTTTCGGTAGCTGAACAGTTGGGAAATGGTACAAACCATGGTGGCACACCCCCCCACCCCAGTCCCCAACAACCCACGCACACACGTGCCTGCTCGTAGCCCTGAGCAGAGCACACCGTAGGTCTCCGGGGGTATGTACAGTTGTACTTTAATTGTGATTTGAATGGTACATTTCCTCTGCCCACCTCTCCCTCCTGCCTGCTTCATCTCTCGCTGTGTGGACCATCGCCCCCCGTTTCTGTTGGAAACAGGACTTTGGGGCAATGTTGTACCGTGTGAGTGAGTTCCCGCCTGACGATTTTTGGGTTTTTCAGCCCCTTTCCCTTTCTCTGCCACCCTCCCCTTGGATTTCTGCATTTTTTCTGCAGAAACGAAGTAACCAGACCTGGTACCCTGAGTCTCAACCCACTGTGGATGTGCTATTTAGAAAAACACATTTGTTGTAATGTGTGTGTATATATAAATATATATATATAATGAATATATCAAGAATATTTCTAAATAAAGTTTTACAAAGCAGCCTCCACGTGCTGTCTCCCTCTCTCCTGCCTCATCGCTTGGATCCGTCGCTGCTTCACAACTGCATTCTTGGGCATTGTGGGATGAGGGTGCCAGGATGGTCCATCCCCAGCCATCCAAAGCCATCGAGAGGCAGCAAAAAACTTCCAAAAGGATCTAATAGTTGGGTTTTTTTTTTTTTTTATTTTCCTTGCTTGGTTCATGCCGTCCAGCCTGGGCTGGGCTTTTGCAGAGAGAGCAAGCGGGAGGAAGAGCGCGCGGGGCCGGCAGGAAGGAAGATGGGGGGTGAAGCAATCCCCCCACCGCAGGCAAGCGTTACCAGCCACCACCACCTTCCCCCCAGCACGTTATTTGTAGGTCCCCCAAAGCCTCCGACAGCCTTTTCCCCTCTTTTGGTGAGGGGAACGGTGTGGGGAGGGGAGGGAAGGGGGCTGCTTGGGGGCAACGCTGCTTCCCTTCACACCCCAGCAAGTGTTTGGCCACAATTTTATAGGCAATGACAGTAATTCCTCTTTTTTTTTTTTTTTTTTTTT